TGCAGGTTTGGTTAATGATAGAATTATCTAGCTGTGCAGGTTTGGTTTATGATAGAATAATCCAGCTGTGCAGGTTTGACTCTTATTCTGGGCAGTTCCTGTTAATTTCCACTTTATTGAAAAGTAATAATGTACTTTTTTTCAGAAGCTTCAGATGTTCAGAGTTTTCTGAGGTTGTTTAGAAATACAAATCATTGGATTTACGATGAACTTTAGACCTGGGAGCGCATTCATGGTGTACTAACAAAAAGAAATGTGTTAAAGGAAACAGAAAGACACGTCTTTAAAACTTTCTGCTCCATCTCGTACCCGGAGTACTTTTTTACCCACGGAGGAATCGTACAGCAAGCGATCACACGACGCCGAGGACCAAGAGACAAACAGGAAACTTGCTCAGATTCAATAAAACTGAATGGTTCTCACCTCACAAGCTGAAAAACTGACACCAAGCAGAGGAACTGGTTCTGAGTCCACCATCCAGACTCAGGTGTGTGGTCTCAGAAACCAGCAGGAGCTGTTTGATGGTTTTCTTTTATTAAAGTTTTACCATAAATTAAAGAAAAAAGGCCAAAATATGAAAAAGACTACAAAATAAAGGCCCAACATTCGTGTGAATGCACATCGCCCGCCGTCTTTAACGTCAGCTTACGGTGACTCACATTCACACTAACTGAATTCTCTGAAGTGATCCTGAACAAAGAGTATCTTACCTGCTGAAGATAGCTGGTTGAACGACCTCAGTTAGTCCAAGGGGCGCCAAGACCAAAGACTTTAGTTGAATCTCTAAAGTTTTTTCCAGGTTCAGGCCAAGGTGCTTGTTTTGACAGAAACGTGGTGTTTTTTTCTGCAGGAAGTGCTACAGCTAGCTGCTGTCGCTACTCAAATATAACCATAACATTTTTTGTTAATAAATGTGGTGCAAAGTTTAAAATGTGTCTAGTTTCCACTCAGACTAGCCATTAGCTCATGGGTCTGGTCAGAATTAAAGAGACAAATTAAACTAGAGCCATCTGCAACAGGTAAGATACTAACTGTTAATCAGCAGAGTCTGTCTAACGTGTCGTATAAACATGCGGGTGATTTGTACGTACTTGTTGGTTGTGAAGTCGTACGCCTCACACGAGGCGGTCAGGCCGTCCTGGTTGACGCCTCCGGCCACCACCATCTTGCCGTTGTGGATGATGGCGCCGAACATGGCTCTGGGCGTCTTCATGGCCGCCATCTCCCTCCACTCGGACTGCTTGTGGTTGTAGGTGAACGTTTTGTTCAGCGCTTTGCTGTGGAGGGACGACACGCTCAGACACCGTTCATGACTTTTCATCTGCAGCAACTTTACTTTGAAGTTAACAGGAAACAGTCTGGGGTTCACTTTCTCATTCCTCTTACTTCCTGTTTTATTGTGAAAATCCTGGGTCTGGCTTCCCTCCACTGACCTGAGGAGACACGTCGTTTCTTCAGAGGCTCTTCAGCCCCGAGATTTTATTCTCACATTCAGCTCTGGTCCTGGTTCTGGTCCATGTCTGGTTCTGGTACTGGTCCTTGTCTGGTTCTGGTTCTGGTCCTAGTTCTGGTACTGGTCCTTGTCTGGTTCTGGTCCTGGTTCTGGTCCTT